ACAGAATTAACTTACTTAAAATGTAACATACTTGTACGCTCCAGTCTTCTTCAGATGATTGAAATTTCGAACCGAACCCTTTATTTCATCCTCTGGGGGAGATTTTTCTAGTTCCACATGGCCCAGTGGACAAAGGAGTGGATTAGATCCAGTGACTAAAGGTTGTGAGTTCAATACCAGTCTACAGCAGTGGTGAACTAAAAACTTGGAGAGTTGAGTTAAAGGGAAATAACTGAGACATTATTACAAGTAATGACACATGGAACTGGAACAATCTACCACGGTGGACGAACTAAAAGTGTTCGATTGGAAAACCCAATCACCTGAAGAAGGCTGAATATTACAACGGCCGAAATGTTACGAAAATGACAGTGATAATGAGGATAAGAGTTCGAATAATGTAAGTAGTGTAAATGGTTTCATCTCAGAAATATAAACAGACCTTTCAAAACAATATATTTGTTTTTCCCTCTTTGTTCTGTTGTGGCAATGAAGGGACCAATCGTTCGATGTGATTTGTTATAAGTATGTCTCAAAAGAGTATGTACTAAATAAATAATAAATTAATTAAATTTAAATTTATTCACGGTTCTCTTGATGGTACTTGAATGGACTTGAATGAAACAAATCTAGTAAAAATTCATTTTATTCGAAAGAATGTTTTTTTCTTCAGAAAATATTGACTTTAATATATCTTATTCATAAAAGTATTTAAAAGCTTTTCTAATTAAATAATGTCTTAGTTTTATTGCTTTTTTATTTTACGGTTCAGTGCAAATTTTCGGTAAGTTGATGTCCCCATTTTACAAAAGACACAAAATGATGGTTTAATTTCACCAAAGACTTCTGATTTTAACATATATATATATATATATATATATATATATATATATATATATATATATATATATATATATATATTGAATTTCTTGAAATTTATAGAATTAAATAAGTGATATTTAAAAATAGGTATTTCTAGGATAATTTAATTCATTTGTAAATAAGTCTTGAAGGTATAATTAAAATTCAACATTAATTTGATTTTTGCTGCAATTTACAAAATAATTTTTTTCACCGCAAAAAAAAAAAAAATGCTAAAATTATCTATACTAAAAAAAACAAGATTATTAAGCCAAATTTCGATCCTTCAAAAAAAGGATTAAAATATAATTTAATAATGAAAAATGGCTTCAAGAACAAGGATTTTGACGGTAAATCTTTGCTATTATAATTTTTGGAACATTGTTTTATAAGGTTATGCTAATTATTTAGCGAATCAATGGAAGTATCTCTTTCTCTCTCTCTCTCTCTACTATCTATCTATCTATATTTTCTTTCTTTAAATTTCTTTACGCTTTATTTTTAGTGGATAGCCATATTTGAATAGACCCCCCGTTTATTGTAAACAGCATTTTACTTCGTCTACTGACCTACGACCGCCGGGAGGATTCAAACCTGGGTCAACTTTTTGCACGAGAAGTCACTGTTTAATCCGACATGATTTTACTGCCTCTCTCTCTCTCTCTCTCTCTCTCTCTCTATATATATATATATATATATATATATATATATATATATATATATATGTATGGGCGTGTGTATGTGTCTCTGTATATGTGAATATATTCATACGTTCACATGTAGGTGTGTGTGTGTGTGTGTATGTACGTGTCTGTATATATATATATATATATATATATAGGTTTGTGTGTTTGTTTGTGTGTATGTGTGAACTCTGTAAGAAGAGATTACTAAGATACGCGGAAGTTATACGAAATCTACATTGGCATGAAATGCAAGTCAAAGCTAAAAACTTGGACTACTTTCGAGGAATGATTGGCATATAGCCACCCACGCTAATCTGCAAGTGGATGACATTTTTTCAAGAGATTTGTGCATTGAGAACTCGGCTAGGTTATAAATAGTCACGAGAAACGATCAATATCGTTCATAGATGTATATCTTAGACATTGACTTACGTTTCACACACCCAAAATTTTGCGGGCACACGCACGTACTCACGCCTTCGCACACACACACACACACACACATATATATATATATATTTAATTATTAAATCGAAAATTCTAACATTAATATGTTCATAACATCACTACAAAGTAGCCATTTTGTTTCAACACTTCTGGTGTCTTATCAAGTGATTGTGTTGAATGTAGAATAAAGGGTTTTAAAAGATTCAAATCAATCAAACACCCCTCGCTAGGGGAAACGCTGTTCCATAAGCTGGTATGACCAATACAAAATACAAGTATATGACAATTCAAAAGACTTGACAACGAAATTTGGTTATAATAATTAATTAATGCTTTAATGTTCGGGTTAGACTAAAATAGAATTCATTCTAACTAATAAATATGAAATTATACTATAAAATTAAAAAATAACCATTTTTAAATTTAATCTATATTAAGTTTAAAATTATAAAATTATTTAAAGAAGAAACTGAGAAAAAATACATATGTTTTTCTATTTATTTTGTTTTATTTAAAATAAGTCTGAATAAACGTTAAGATCTAATGCTGCCCTGAACTTCGTATATATATATATTTAATTGAGTCTGATAGAAACCTCAACAGGAAATAGAGTAAGCACTGGACGGCCGTTTCGTCCTATAATTGGGACTCATCAGCAGTGCGCATCCACCACCAAGTATCGAAACCCTGACAGTTGGGTTGTCAAGCAAACAACATACCAACTGTACCAAATGGGCCTCGGTAACGAAGAGATTCCTAATCAGACTCAACTAGCCGCTCGCTCACATATTCCGTGGCGGAACTCTACTGAGTTCTCTGTAACCGTAGGACTGTGCCCCCAGACTCAATGAATCAATTAAATATAATTCTCAAATCCTCCTACTTATTATTATCTGTCTTTATCTTCGCTTGAACCGGCTTCTAATGCTTCAGTCGGCGCGGCTTGGTGAGAGTAGTCGTGGCTCCCGGGGGCGCAGTCCTACGGTTACGACCTTGTGTCACATGTTGCCCCAGTGAGGGGGGAGACTGAATATTGTCAGTCGCTCAACTCCTGACCGACGGGCTCGGAGAACTCAATAAATAACCGACCTTGTGTCACATGATGCCCCAGTGGGGAGGGGTGACTGAATATCGTCAGTCGTTCAAGTCTTGAACGACATATCGATTGAACTCTCTGCCTTCAGGCGGTGAGGAACCCGAAGGAGGCTACGCCGAAGGGAGTATTCTCTTTCAGGGAGGTAAACCAACCCTGGACCCGTTTATACGGGTTCAATGAGCATATTTTTGGCCGAGCCCACGGGCTCGGAGAGCCTACGTTAAAAAGGCCTTGTGCCACATGACGCCCTCGTGGGGGGTGACTGAATATCGTCGAGTCAAGAATCGGGTCATGCATGACCACGCGAGAGTGAATTCGAGAAGTATTAAGTATGGGAAGCCGTTAGTATAAACTAATGGTAGCTGTTACCAAATATAGACATTTAAGAATATTTGTAGAGATTCCATAGTTGATTTTGTTTAGGTTAGGTTTCAACTGTTTAATGTATATTGCTTCAAGGATTATCTACATTATTTAATGAAACATGTATGACTGAAAAATGCTGTCTAAATACCCAAAATTTTAATATATATATATATATATATATATATATATATATATATATATATATATATAACCATATTTTAAATCAATTAATTTATAATATATATATATCAACTTAATTAATAATTAATATATGTACATATCTATATTATATTTACATTATATATATATATATATATATATTGTATACACATATTATATATATATAACCTTAATTATTTATTAATTAATTAATATATATACATAACCTTAATTATTAATTTTATATATATATATATATATATGTATCATATATATATATATATAACCTTAATATATTAAATATATATTATATATATAAACTTAATATATATATATATATATATATATATATATATATATATATATGTGTGTGTGTGTGTGTGTGTGTGTTTATTAACCCATAGATAGTGGAGAAGAAGCGTATTCATATCTTTCACGAGGTTATTTGAACATTAGAGACATATCTGGAACTAGATCCAAGCTCTCTAATTAAAATTTCTGAGCCATTATCTATTACACTCTCCGAACATACAAATTTACAGTACCTTTTGTTCATCATCGGTCACTCATCTAGACATTGACCAGGTTCGACGTCGTTTAACTTTGCTGATCGCACGTTGATCAGTGTATCAACATGAAAATAGCAATCGGGTAGAAAGTGGTTAGGAAAGTTTCAGGGTGCGGAAAATTTCATTCCCCTACAAGGCTGGGCAAAAATGGCTTCGTTCAGTTTAGCGTTACCAATCTTACTCGGTTTCGTAATTCTATTTCTGAGATGAGAAATTTCAATAGTCTTGTATTATGTAACATTATTTTGTTCTCAAAAAAGAACATTCTGACGGGGTGTTTCCAATTATCCAGAAATTTCTGGTCCTTATTAACTGTACAATGTCAAAGGCATTAACTTAGATCTGCTGCAGTAATCCATCGCCTCTGGGGAAGATTAGCTTGAGGATTAGCTCTGCTTCGTAAGCCAATCATAGATTCGCCCCATTTTAATGCGTGACGAGAATTTATACTTGCATGACTCAAGGTTTGAAACAAATCTTGTATCAACTGTTGAGGCTGCTAGTGGCGGTCTAACGGTATGGGTAATCAATTGTGATCATAGACTGAAATAGCTATAATAATCGTTTTAGTGCTAAGGTCTGCCTTGTTCTTCTAGTTGATCAAGTGTCCTTGTTTATGATAATCAATAGCGATTTGGAGATAGCGATTGGTCTGAAGACCAGGCAGAACAACTGGCAGAACACCTAGTAAAACGCCTGGAAGAATAATTGGCAGAACACCTGGTAGAACGACTGGCAGAACAACTGGTAAAACGACTGGCAGAACAACTGGTAAAACGTATGGGAGAACACATGGCAGAACAACTAGTAAAACGAATGGGAGAACACATGGCAGAACAACTGGCAAAACGACTGGTCGAACACTTGGCAGAACATCTGGTTAGGACATCTGGAGAACGACTGGCAGAACACCTGCTAGAATACCTGGTAGAACACCTGGCAGATCATCTGTCAGAACACATGACAGAACACCTGGCAGATCATCTGTCAGGACACATGGCAGAACACCTGGCAGATCATCTGTCAGAACACATGGCAGAACACCTGGCAGATCATCTGTCAGAACACATGGCAGAACACCTGGCAGATCATCTGTCAGGACACATGGCAGAACACCTGGCAGATCATCTGTCAGAACACATGGCAGAACACCTGGCAGATCATCTGTCAGAACACATGGCAGAACACCTGGCAGATCATCTGTCAGAACACATGGCAGAACACCTGGCAGATCATCTGTCAGAACACATGGCAGAACACCTGGCAGATCATCTGTCAGAACACATGGCAGAACACCTGGCAGATCATCTGTCAGGAACACATGGCAGAACACCTGGCAGATCATCTGTCAGGACACATGGCAGAACACCTGGCAGATCATCTGTCATGACAGAACACATGCAGATCAGAACACCTGGCAGATCATCTGTCAGAACACATGGCAGAACACCTGGCAGATCATCTGTCAGGACACATGACAGAACACCTGGCAGATCATCTGTCAGAACACATGGCAGAACACCTGGCAGATCATCTGTCACCCTGGCAGACACATGGCAGAACACCTGGCAGATCATCTGTCAGGAACACATGGCAGAACACCTGGCAGATCATCTGTCAGAACACATGGCAGAACACCTGGCAGATCATCTGTCAGAACACAGAACACCTGGCAGATCATCTGTCAGAACACATGGCAGAACACCTGGCAGATCATCTGTCAGAACACATGGCAGAACACCTGGCAGATCATCTGTCAGGACACATGGCAGAACACCTGGCAGATCATCTGTCCAAACACATGGCAGAACACCTGGCAGATCATCTGTCAGAACACATGGCAGAACACCTGGCAGATCATCTGTCAGGACACATGGCAGAACACCTGGCAGATCATCTGTCAGAACACATGGCAGAACACCTGGCAGATCATCTGTCAGGACATCTGTCAGAACACATGGCAGAACACCTGGCAGATCATCTGTCAGAACACATGGCAGAACACCTGGCAGATCATCTGTCAGGACACATGGCAGAACACCTGGCAGATCATCTGTCAGAACAAGAACACATGGCAGATCATCAGAACACATGGCAGAACACCTGGCAGATCATCTGTGGCAGAACACCTGGCAGATCATCTGTCAGGACATGGCAGAACACCTGGCAGATCATCTGTCAGAACACATGGCAGAACACCTGGCAGATCATCTGTCAGAACACATGGCAGAACACCTGGCAGATCATCTGTCAGGACACATGACAGAACACCTGGCAGATCATCTGTCAGAACACATGGCAGAACACCTGGCAGATCATCTGTCAGGAACACATGGCAGAACACCTGGCAGATCATCATCATGTCAGAACACCTGGCAGATCATCTGTCAGAACACATGGCAGAACACCTGGCAGATCATCTGTCAGGACACATGGCAGAACACCTGGCAGATCATCTGTCAGAACACATGGCAGAACACCTGGCAGATCATCTGTCAGAACACATGGTAGAACACCTGGCAGATCATCTGTCAGGACCTGGCAGATCATCTGTCAGAAACACAGATCATCTGTCAGAACACATGGCAGAACACCTGGCAGATCATCTGTCAGAACACATGGCAGAACACCTGGCAGATCATCTGTCAGGAACACATGGCAGAACACCTGGCAGATCATCTGTCAGAAACAGATCATCTGGAACAGAACAGAACACCTGGCAGATCATCTGTCAGAACACATGGCAGAACACCTGGCAGATCATCTGTCAGGACACATGGCAGAACACCTGGCAGATCATCTGTCAGGACACATGGCAGAACACCTGGCAGATCAGAACACCTGGCTGGCAGATCATCTGTCAGAACACATGGCAGAACACCTGGCAGATCATCTGTCAAGACACATGACAGAACACCTGGCAGATCATCTGTCAGACACATGACAGAACACCTGGCAGATCATCTGTCAGAACACATGGCAGAACACCTGGCAGATCATCTGTCAGAACACATGGCAGAACACCTGGCAGATCATCTGTCAGGGGCAGAACATGATCTGTCAGAACACATGGCAGATGGCAGATCATCTGTCAGAACACATGGCAGAACACCTGGCAGATCATCTGTCAGAACACATGGCAGAACACCTGGCAGATCATCTGTCAGAACACATGGCAGAACTGTGCAGGCACAGGTGATAATGGGTAATAAATACTTATTGCCTGATATTGTTCTTTGTCTAATTTGTAACGAACGTCATTTCATGCGCGTTGCCTTGTTCGGAACTCAATATTCGCTGGAAACCCATTTCTTTTTAGAGAAAATGTAGATATATTACTCTTTTTAACTTACTTAGATTTGTTTAACGTAATTTTCAATCTCAAGTCACGTGTGATTGTAGACTCCGGAGGGTTGTGGAAAACGAATAGCTTGTATGAGGCGGGGTGGGCAACTTTTTCAGAACACTTACTCATCCATTGGGAATGTACAGACACACGCACACACAGGCACACACAGGCACACACACACACACACACAACCGGGGTTTTGTAATAAGTATGATGCATAATCAATCACCATATCCTTTTTAATTTATTGATCTTCTCTTTCTTATCATCATTACAGATCATTGCAAATTTTGGAGATGGTTAAGATTTGATTAATTTCGAAAACAACAGAAACAACATCACTTGAGGACTTTCAACATCCGCAACAGATAAAATGTTTGATAGATTCGTTTTCTACGGCTTATCAACCCTTTTGCAGCATATTTAAAGCCAGAGAATATCTTTATATTGTAAGAATTAAAAAAACAACAATCATTTCACCAGGAGAAGAGGTAGATTCATAGATTTCCCAAAGTTATTTGCGTGTAAGTGAATATGATGAACTCATCTGGAACTTGAAACAATTAACAATTTCTGGTCTATCATCCATTACATCTCTTACATCAGCGAGTTCTTTAAGTAGCTGTTATTTCCAAATGGCGATTCACCTCAACAGGCGTGACGGTGATTAATTTCGGCGGTCATACGGGAACCAATGTTTCAACGTGATGTGGTCGTAATCCCAGTTAGAATGGATATCACAATTAAATCGATGCAAAAGTAATGATATAATCAAGATGTTGAGGTTCCACACGACCTGAAACAATATGTTAGGAAGGAAACCCCATCAATACTGAAAACTTTGGTTGATTGAGTGATTTCTGCTTTACGGTTTGTCACCTTTTTGCAGGATATTTAAGCCCATGAATTTTTTAGATTGTAATAAATTTTTGAGATAGTAATGGTTTATTGATACAAGTCTTACTTATTAACCCGTAGCTGGGGGCTTAAGAGATGGATTCATATCTAATCAGAATTTGGTAAACAATCAAGAGTTTATAGTGTGGAAATAAAGTGGGGGATCAATTCTACATTACAATCAATATTTAAGTTGATCCCTAACTTTGTGGCGACACTGTTTCTATACATTTCTATTCCAGAGAATGCAAAATAATAAAAAAGACAAACCTGCGTAGCTAATCAGTGTTTCATTGATTGATTGATTCGTTTCTTTACGGCTCATCAGCAATTAAGAAATTATAATGTGGAAATAAGGTGGGGGATCAGCTTTATACTTCACCCATTATATAAACTGATCTTTCACTTTGTGGCCACGATAGTTTCTATGCATTTATATTCCAGAGAATGCAAATAAATTTGAAAGATATACCTGTGTAGCTAATCAGTATTTCATTGATTGATTGATTTTTTTTTACGGCTTATCAACACGTTTCTGGTTATTTAAAGCTTTCCTATTTTCATCTCCGATCCGTTCTCTATTACACCCAACGCACATTTAAGCTTGCAGCACTTGATATTCCCAAGCGTTCATTCATCTTGCTAGTGACCAGGTTCGACATTGCTTTACTTCGATCTTTCAACGTAATCTGGCCTTGAGCTGCAAATCTTTGAACAAAGAATACTGCACGGAAACTATTAATTTCACATTTACTACCCACCATGATACATTGAACTCCAAGCAAGGCGACAATGTCCCTAAGACGCAAGGCATCACTGAGAGTAAAAGAGAATGAGAAGAGTTTAGTGAGGAGAAAAGGCGAAAACAGCAGAGTTCGGAAAGGCAGAAAATAGCGATTGGTATTGCATCTTAACTTTATGAAGATCTGAGATGGTAGGAAAGCAAGAAGCAACTTACGCTAGAACTTACGGTTACCTCACTCGCTATTTCAACAGTAAAATGGTGAGATCTAATTGCCAATCAAGTATTACGCTTAAATTCATGCAGATGAGGTAAAAAAAAAAGAGATCTCATTAGAACAATTGCCATGAAAATATTTATAGAAAAGACAGAGGTAAGCCACTGCACGACAGTGGGAAAGTGATGCCAGATAAGGACGGATGACATTACAAGCTCTACTTTGGGCTTAACAACCTCTTCAGCGACAAACAGTCTTGATTTCGATCTGCACCTCCACTGCTGATATCCAGAATTAGTGAGGCTCTTGACAACAAATAAATCTCAAGGACAGTTGAATTAGATATGTGACAAGGTGGAGAAGATGTTACTGCTCAAGCTCTCTAGCTATGAAAACACTTCTCAGTGATAAAGAATCTTCTCAGTTATAAAGTCCTCCCGAACGGGTAGGTTCATGAGGATAGTAGCGCCAGTCTCCCGAGTCTCAGGCGATCAACGCGAGACTCCTCCAAGTTTCTATTCTTGGTCCGACCTTCTTTCTACTCTACATAAATGATGTGCTTAAGAATGTACACTCATTTGCTAATATCTATGGGTGCAACTCAGAAATCCTCAATGACCAGAGCTTAGCAGCTGATCTATTATCTGACCGAGCTCTAAGAGCTCAGTGGGAGAAAAACTGGGTTGTCACATTTAATGGCTCAAGAACCAAACTAATAGCATTCCACCATCGCCGATCTGACCCAGAAATTTCACAATTCAAGGACAATTGCGTACTGGATATTTGCGTCCAGTACAATTATGTACCAGACAATTGCATCTCTAGACAAATGTATCCCTGGATAATTGCGTACCTATGATAATTTTTTTTAAAATTTTAATGGCAGTTACCAAAAATTTTGAAAAACGCATAGTTAGTATCTGTCTATATTTCTGAGATAATGTAATGTGTACACTATTTACATTATTCGGACTATGGTCCTCATCTTTGTCGCAATATTTATTACAACGTTTCGGCCTTTCAGTAGCTGTCTATATTTCTGAGATGAGGTATTATATACATTATTTACATTATTCTGACTATTGTCCTCATCTTTGTCGCCATATTTATTACAACGTTTCGGCTTTTCAGTTTCTGTCTATATTTCTGAGATGAGGTATTATGTACATTATTTACATTATTCGGACTATTGTCCTCATCCTTGTCGCCATATTTATTACAACGTTTCGGCTTTTCAGATTCGGTCTATATTTCTGAGATGAGGTATTATATACATTATTTACATTATTCGGACTATTGTCCTCATCTTTGTCGCCGTATTTATTACAACGTTTCGGGCTTTCAGTATCTGTCTATATTTCTGAGATGAGGTATTATGTACATTATTTACATTATTCGGACTATTGTCCTCGTCTTTATCGCCGTATTTATTACAACGTTTCGGCCTTTCAGTATATGTCTATATTTCTGAGATGAGGTATTATATACATTATTTACATTATTCGGACTATTGTCCTCATCTTTGTCGCCATATTCATTACAACGTTTCGGCCTTTCAGTATCTGTCTATATTTCTGAGATGAGGTATTATGTACATTATTTACATTATTCGGACTATTGTCCTCATCTTTGTCGCCATATTTATTACAACGTTTCGGCCCTTCAGTATTTATTTATATTTCTGTGATGAGGTATTATGCAAACTATTTACATTATTTGGACTGTTGTCCTCATTTTGTTGCTATATTTATTATAACATTTCGGCCGTTGTACGCTCCGGCCTTCTTCAGGTGGTTGGAATGTCGAACTGAACCCTTTATTTCGCTCACTGGGGTAGACTGTTCTAGTTCCATGTGCCAAGCCTAATGGTTATCAGTTATCTCCTGTTAATTTCCCTCTCCAAGTTCTCCACCGCCTTAACCAGGTAGTAATCATTAATTTTTTAAAGAAGGAATAAAATAAAAATTTAAAAGTTAATTTTTGTTTAAAATGTAATGACAGATTAACAATGTTGCAAGATCGCTCTACATATCGCCCGTATGTTTTTGTTTCATTGTCGTTTTTCTTGTGATGTTGGTACCTGTAATTTTCATCGTCCTCAAATATATTACCACCAGCGTTTGATTTTCGAAACGTAGCCATGGGTTCCAAATAAAAATATAAACTTTAAAATCCAGAATAGCACTGCTGGAGGGAACTGAAACTGTTATCTAAAATCTCTTGTTTTAAAAAAAGAAATTTTCTTTCTTTTTTTTTATTTATAGTAACTACATTTTTGCTTGTTTAGAGTAATTAAAAGTATTGATGTGCAAATTTCTATATTAAACTACTACTTAATTTTTTTTCCTTTCAAAAGTTATGTTAACTAACTTTTTGCTTATTTAGAGTAATTAAAAGAATTGATGTGCAAATTTCTATATTAAAAAACTACTTAATTTTTTTCCTTTCCAAATTTATGTTAACTATATTTTTGCTTGTTTAGAGTAAGTAAAAGTATTGGTGTGCAAATTTCTATATTAAACAACTAATTTTTTTTTCCTTTCAAAATTTATGTTAACTACATTTTTCCTTGTTTAGAGTAATTAAAAGTATTGATGTGCAAATTTCTATATTAAACAACTACTTAATTTTTTTTCATTTCAAAATTTATGTTAACTACATTTTTCCTTGTAATTAAAAGTATTGAAAATTTTATATTAAACAACTACTTAATTTTTTTTTTAAAAATTTGTTTACATTTTTCCTTGTTTAGAGTAATTAAAAGTATTGATGTGCAAATTTCTATATTAAACAATTACTTATTTTTTTTTTCCTTTCAAAAATGTTTTTTTCCTTTTAAAATAATTAAAAGTATTGATGTGCAAATTTCTATATTAAACAACTACTTAATTTTTTTTCCTTTCAAAATTTATGTTAACTACATTTTTCCTTGTTTAGAGTAATTAAAAGTATTGATGTGCAAATTTCTATATTAAACAACTACTTAATTTTTTTTCCTTTCAAAATTTATGTTAACTACATTTTTCCTTGTTTAGAGTAATTAAATGTATTGATGTGCAAATTTGTACATTAAACAACTACTTAATTTTTTTCCTTTCAAAATTAATGTTAACTACATTTTCCTTGTTTTAAAATAAAAAGTATTGATGTGCAAATTTCTATATTAAACAACTACTTAATTTTTTTTTCCTTTCAAAATTTATGTTAACTACATTTTTATTTGTTTAGAGTAATTAAAAGTATTGATGTGCAAATTTCTATATTAAACAACTACTTAATCAAAATTTTTTCCATTTTCAAAATTTATATTTAACTTTTTTTTTTCCTTGTTTTGTTTATGCAAATTTCTATATTAAACAAACTTAACTACATTTTCCTTGTTTAGAGTAATTAAAAGTATTGATGTGCAAATTTCTATATTAAACAACTACTTAATTTTTTTTCCTTTCAAAATTTATGTTAACTACATTTTTCCTTGTTTAGAGTAATTAAAAGTATTGATGTGCAAATTTGTACATTAAACAACTACTTAATTTTTTTTCCTTTCAAAATTAATGTTAACTACATTTTTCCTTGTTTAGAGTAATTAAAAGTATTGATGTGCAAATTTCTATATTAAACAATTACTTAATTTTTTTTCCTTTCAAAATTTATGTTAACTTTTTTCCTTGTTTTTTAAAAATTATGCAAATTTCTATATTAAACAAACTTAATTTTTTTTCCTTTCAAAATTTTTTAACTACATTTTTGTTTAGAGTAATTAAAAAAGTATTGATGTGCAAATTTCTATATTAAACAACTACTTAACTTTTTTTTTTTTTCCTTTCTTTACATTTTTATTTGTTTAAAATTAAAAGTATTGATGTGCAAATTTCTATATTTACTTAATTTTTTTTCCTTTCATTAACTACATTTTTTGTTTGTTTAGAGTAATTAAAAGTATTGATGTGCAAATTTCTATATTAAACAACTACTTAATTTTTTTCCTTTCAAAATTTTTTAACTACATTTTCAAAAATTTATTGATGTGCAAATTTATATTAAACAACTACTTAATTTTTTTCCTTTCAAAATTTATGTTAACTACATTTTAATTTGTTTAATTAATTAAAATTATTGATGTGCAAATTTCTATATTAAACAACTACTTAATTTTTTTTTTTTCCTTTCAAAATTTATGTTTACATTTTCCTTGTTTAGAGTAATTAAAAGTATTGATGTGCAAATTTCTATATTAAACTACTTAATTTTTTTCCTTTACTTATGTTTTTTTCCTTTAAAAAGTATTGAAAATTTATATTAACTACTTAATTTTTTTTTCCTTTGTTTAGTTAACTAATTTGTTTAGAGTAAAAGTATTGATGTGCAAATTTCTATATTAAACAACTACTTAATTTTTTTTTTTCCTTTCAAAATTTATGTTAACTACATTTTTCCTTGTTTAGAGTAATTAAAAGTATTGATAAATTTGTATATTAAACAACTACTTAATTTTTCCTTTAAAATTAATGTTTTTTTTCAATTTTATGTTTAGAGTAATTTAATGTGCTACTTAATTTTTTTTTCCTTTCAAAATTTATGTTAACTACATTTTTCCTTGTTTAGAGTAATTAAAAGTATTGATGTGCAAATTTCTATATTAAACAAATTAATTTTTTTTTCCTTTCAAAATTTATGTTTTTTTTCCTTGTTTTTAAAAATTTTGCAAATTTGTACATTAAACAACTACTTAATTTTTTCCTTTCAAAATTAATGTTAACTAATTTTTTCCTTGTTTAAAATTAAAAGTATTGATGTGCAAATTTCTATATTAAACAATTACTTAATTTTTTTTTTTTTCCTTTCAAAATTTTTTTTTTCCTTTCTTGTTTAGAGTAATTAAAAGTATTGAAAATTTTATATTAACTTAATTTTTTTTTTCCTTTCAAAATTTTGTTAACTACATTTTTATTTGTTTAATAATTAAAAGTATTGATGTGCAAATTTCTATATTAAACAACTACTTAATTTTTTTTTTCCTTTCAAAATTTTTTAACTACATTTTATTTGTTTAGAGTAATTAAAAATTTGCAAATTTCTATATTAAACAATTACTTAACAAAATTTATGTTAATTTTTTCCTTGTTTAGAGTAATTAAAAGTATTGATGTGCAAATTTCTATATTAAACAACTACTTAATTTTTTTTTTTTTTCAAAATTTATGTTAACTACATTTTTATTTGTTTAGAGTAATTAAAAGTATTGATGTGCAAATTTCTATATTAAACAACTACTTAATTTTTTTTCCTTTCAAAATTTATGTTAACTACATTTTTCCTTGTTTAGAGTAATTAAAATTATTGATGTGCAAATTTCTATATTAAACAACTACTTAATTTTTTTTTCCTTTCAAAATTTATGTTAACTACATTTTTCCTTGTTTAGAGTAATTAAAAGTATTGATGTGCAAATTTCTATATTAAACAACTACTTAATTTTTTTTCCTTTCAAAATGTATGTTAACTACATTTTTCCTTGTTTAGAGTAATTAAAAGTATTGATGTGCAAATTTGTATATTAAACAACTACTTAATTTTTTTTCCTTTCAAAATTTATGTTAACTACATTTTTCTTTGTTTAGAGTAATTAAAAGTATTGATGTGCAAATTTCTATATTAAACAACTACTTAATTTTTTTTTCCCTTCAAAATTTATGTTAACTACATTTTTGCTTGTTTAGAGTAATTAAAAATTCGTTTGCAATTAGCAACTTTTAAAAATCAACTTTTAAGAAAAGAAAGTATGGTAACTTCAAAAAATTATCAGAGGTTCGCAATTATCCAGGGATGCATTTGTCTAGGTAGCAAATGTCCAGGAAAGCACTACTCTATCATCCGGGAATAAAATGTGCCGTATATAACTGTCGATCTACCAACTTTCACCAATCGTAATAAAGTGATATTTCCCCGGGAAGGCCACATGCCTTGAGCGCCTAATGGGACATAAACTCTACGCAGATCTGAAGACTCTTACCTACAATCCATCGCTAAAGATACTGGCAAAATGACCAGTTTTATGTCCGTTCCTGCAAATACCGAAATGTTGTTTCCCCGATCTGTGCAAGTCTAGGTTTAACAGATATCTTCCACACACACCCATATAAGCAGTGACTCTTACTCTGTCATCATCTACCTCGAGTGTCACTCAAGCCTTGTATAGGGTGAATAACATTGTTAAAGGGGAAAAGAATCTCAAGATATATAGACGTAGCACCAGACTCGATATAGAAGCAATATTCAATGCACGAACAAATGGTACATTTACAACAGGGCAAGATGGATTCCGACGAGAAAAAAATTGTAAGACAGAAGAGAGAGAGAGAACCAATATTCCTAGTGGCGGACCTATCAATTGATTTGAAAGTATCATTGATCTAGGTCGGCTTTTAGTATTATTCGTGTCGTCAAATTGAGAGAATGACGCAACTGTTTAAAACAGACACTCTCATTCTAATCTCCACCCATATTCTTTTTTTCTGATTAAAATAAGGTCGCCAACGAGGGGACAGCTACGATGGGACGATCTATCATAGTCGACGAGGACCTAACGGACGTAACAGCGATTAGACGGGAACGATAAATCAATCGCTCGCTGTTGACGAGGTCCTTACGCACGTAACAGCGATAGGACGGGAACGATGAGCCAATCGCTCGCTGTCGACGAGGTCCTAACGGACGTAACAGCGATAGAACGTGAACGATAATCCAATCGCTCGCTGTCGACGAGGTCCTAACGCATGTAAAAGCAATAGGACGGGAACGATCAGCCAATCGGTCGCTGACGACGATGTCCTAACGCTCGTGAAAGCGATTGGATGATTGCGATGAGACAACCGATCGCTGTCTACGGGGTTCTAACGCACGTAACAGCGATAGGAAGGGAACGATGACCCAATCACTTGCTGACGACAAGGTCTTAACGCACATAACAGCAATAGGACGAGAACGATGAGCCAATCGCTTGCTGTCGACGAGGTCCTAACGCACTTAACAGCGATAGGACGGGAACGATGAGCCAATCGCTCACTGTCGACGAGATCCTAACGCCCAGTAACACAATAAGACGACTATTATGAGACAATCGATCACGGTCGACGAGCGTCTAACGCGGATGAAAGCGTGGGGATGTCACCGATGAAACCCTCGATCAAAGTCGATGAGGTCCTAACGCTCGTGAAAGCGATAGGATGATTACGATGAGACAACCGATCGCTGTCGAAGAGATCCTAACGCGAGTGAACGGATAGGACGGCGACAATGTGACAATCGATCACAGTCGACGAGCATCTAACTCGGTGTGAAATCAAAGGGGCGGCTACAACGGGACCTCTGCACTATATAGGCCTGGAGCTGCACAATCTTAATTGTCCAGTCTTGTCAGAATCATGACCTATTTTCCCACCATACAACCTCTTTTCCCACAGTTAATCTATCGATATTTCTATAGCTAAAGACCAGATTACCTCCATTTTTAGTGCCATCAGCTCAGACCATTACGTCTAAGACGTCTTTTATTGTGTCATAATTGTAGAAGGGACTTTTATCTCTAAGTTCCTTCTTCAAAACGATTATGTTGTGGAACGTTACCCCGCTTGGATGCTTTTTCGTGCACTATAGTTTCTTCAGGTTTAGGGTCAGTCGTTATCTTATCATTGTAATCCTCATTGTCTACTTATTCCCGATGGTTGATGCTTGGGAATAGCCGGGGATATAAGTTTGGGTGTGCGGGTGGTGTAATGGATAATGGCTCGGAAATGTTAATCTGAGAGACGAGTTCCAAATCAAATTGGGTTCGTTATGTTCATTCACGCTCAAATAACCTTTGAGAAAGGCATGAACTCTTCTCTTCTCCCAGCTATGGGTTAATTAGTAAAACTTGTATCGCTAAAACTATTATTATCTTAATTACTACTAAATAGCGATTTATATCCCCCATACTTCCAGCCTTGTGTCACACCGAAACTTAGTAAATAAACTTGCTAAGTAAATACCTATATAAGAAAATAAGAGATGGGCACTTCGACGTGACGTTATGGTTAACAAGTTTGTCTTGCCAGATCAATTATGACTGAATAGTAATTTCGATATTTACTCGGTGCTCCGCACCTTCGGCCTTGTGTCACATCTAAGCTACGCTTAGAAAATCAGTATAATATGAGATAATAATATAGGAGATATATTACAGATTAAATGGGAGAGAGTAGAACGCAAAATTAAGCCCGCAGAGGAAATAAATGTCGAGTCAAATAGAGTTCGGTAAATCTGATGGAAAAGACAGACTAATGGAGAGAGAGAGAAAGAGAGAGAGAGAGAAAGAGAGAGAGAGAGAGATGAAAGAGAAAGAGAGAGAGAGAGATGAAAGAGAGAGAGAGAGATGAAAGAGAAAAAGAGAGAGATGAAAGAGAGAGAGAGAGGTGGAAGAGAGAGAGAGATGAAAGAGAGAGAGAGATGAAAGAGAAAGAGAGAGAGAGAGAGATGAAAGAGAGAGAGAGAGATGAAACAGAAAAAGAGAGAGAGATGAAAGAGAGAGAGAGAGGTGAAGAGAGAGATGAAGAGAGAGAGAAAAGAGAGAGAGAGATGAAAGAGAGAGAGATGAAAGAGAAAAAGAGAGAGATGAAAGAGAGAGAGAGATGGAAGAGAGAGAGATGAAAGAGAGAGAGATGAAAGAGAAAAAGAGAGAGAGATGAAAGAGAGAGAGAGATGAAAGAGAAAAAGAGAGAGATGAAAGAGAGAGAGAGAGAGGTGAAAGAGAGAGAGAGATGAAAGAGAGACAGAGATGAAAGAGAAAAAGAGAGAGAGAGATGAAAGAGAGAGAGAGAGATGAAAGAGGAAAAGAGAGGTAAATAGAGTTAGAAGAATATAGGCTGGGAGAAAGTAGGTGGCAAAAATAGACTGCCAATGATAAAGTTAGTAATTAAGTTGTATTGCAGTTATCCCCCTTTATTTTTTCTGCGGAAGTTAAGACCTTTAATTCGATGATTACACTGAATGCGTCAGACACTGATGGCGTGATTATAGATTCATTTCAGCGCCGTTTAAACTATTTCAAGTTACTATTTTAGGTATTAACAATTAAGTAGACCAGAATAAATTTTCTATCGTATAGAACTCGCTATATTAAACAATGGCCTTCCAGTCTAGATGACCACGTATCACGCTAGGTGGCCTTATTTTATTTCTTATCAATCAGGCTTAAAAAACAAACAAAATAAAAACATCTTTTTCGAACCAGACAGTTTATTCGTTAACAGTTTTTAATGAAAATATCATCTTTCCACTCTATGACCCCTAAAAATACCGATGTGTCACATTTTATCGAATAAATATTTCGTCAAAAATCTTCAGACTATCATTTCTTCCACTGCGTTTATTTTAACATTTATTACATATATTTTTTTTAATCATTTCAAGGCGAGAATGCCACTAATGCACAGAGGGTGACACGGAGTACAATTGAGAGAAAAGACTGAGTATAAGGATGATTGAGGATGTTGTAACAACCAGAACATTAATTTACTGTGGATGGTCTAGCGATTAAAGCACTTTCAATATATTTAATATTGGCACGTGACCTAGTCGTTAGAACGTTTTCTTTTTGAACATAAGACGCGGGTTTGTCAGAAAGGTGATCCCAGATTACGGCATTTTCGGAGATTTCTCGAAAACTATACCACGGGGTGATCTTAGTCTTTTGTGTGAAATTGTGTAGACAGATCTATTTGGGAGCCGTCAATGGTTCTACTAGTACTAAGTAAGAAGTCATCGTGACCGAGGGTTTTAGCGTAGTAATCTAGTTCAGACTTTTGATCGCTATCTACTGACCGCACAGCATTGTTGTTTTATGAACTACAGGTGGGTTCTCTAAGGTGTTGAACAAACACAGATGTGCCTGAGCCGTCTTCTGCAACAGGGATTTTCTAGTCGCCCGAATAGCCAGACACACTCGGATACGAGCGAACAATCATTATATTTTCGTCTGAGTAAATCGCTCTCACGCTAGCTTCTCCAAATTATATGTGTGTTCCGCGTTCTAACAAAATTCCTCTTTTCTTTGCATATCTTTTATTATCACAGGCTGTTACATTATTTACATTATTTGGACTATTGTCTTCTTCTTAGTTGCCATATTTATTACAACGTTTCGACCGTTGTACACTCCAGCCTTCTTCAGGTGGTTGGAATGTCGAACTGAACCTTTTATTTCGCTCGCTGGGGTAGATTATTCTAGTTCCACGTGCAATGTCTATTGGATGTCAGTTATCAGTTATCTCTTGTTAATTCCCAACTCCAATTTTGCACTACCTTTACCGGGTATTGAACTCACAACTCTTTGGGTTCTTTCACTGTATCTAACCAACGCCTTTATCAACTGTGCCTAGGGCCTTAAGGAGGAAGGCCGGAGCGTACAACTGCCGAAACGTTGTAATAAATATGGCAACAAAGAAGAAGACAATAGTCCATATAATGTAAATAGTGTACATAATACCTCATCTCAGAAATATAGACAGATGCAGGCTGGTATATTTAATAGCAAAAGTGATGGAAACATAACCAAAATTAAATCAACTCGACTATATACCTAAACGTATACATTTAAAACAAAATACTCCACGTCTCCTCTCTTTGTGTTAATGTGTCGTTGCATCAACGTAATCATGACTTTAGTTTGATTAGGACCGAAAGGACGAAATGTGTCACACAAAATCTTTTTCCACGTCGTTATTAATTTCCCGGATATATATATATATATATATATATATATATATATATATATAATAAAAAGAAAGAACAGTAAGATATAAAATCCGGTGTTCTTATAGATATTTTATTTTTACAAAATAGTGCTCAATGTAAATTTACAGAGCATTAATATTATAAATTAATTGATAAATGAAATGGAACTAATGCTTTTAATTTAATTGCAAAAATAAAATTAGGGGTTTTTAGCTTCTATTTTTGAAACATGGTTGGAACTGTGTAGCGAAAATAACCATATTTTAAATCAATTAATTTATAATATATATATATATATATATATATATATATATTAAACAATAAAAAATATTAAAATTTAAAATCTTGAGACACACTGGGTTGTATATTAATATTCTTTCATTTTTATTATTATTTCATTTAGATTGATTCGTCGCCTAGTTTCGACGAACATGCCCATCACCCAGAGAAAAAAATTCTACTTGCTGGTAGCAGTGAACTACAGAAATTATATATATATATATGGAGTCCAGATGGGCAGTCCCCTTGGCCCTGCATTGGCTGATATTTTTGTGGGCTACCACGAGATGTTACTTTTTGGCAAAGTGTCTAAACCGTTTGTTTATGTCAGGTATGTCGATGACACTTTTGCAAATTTTTCTAATGAAAGTGAGGCTTTTGAGTTCATTAATGAGCTCAACTCCTTACACAATGGTTTTTCCTTCACTATGGAAGGGGAGAAGGACAATTGTCTGCCTTTTTTGGACGTTTTTTTTGGACGTTTTTGTTGAGCGCAGTAGAGGTGGGTTTCTTACAAGCATCTACCGTAAACCCACCTTTACGGGTCTCTATTTGAATTGGCGTTCATTTGCTCCTGCATCAAGGAAAATTAATCTTGTTAAAACCTTGCTGTATAGAGCGCTTAAAATTTGTTCTCCTATTAGATTGGACCGTGAATTTGAAAACATTAGGGAGATTTTCTTCAGTAACGGCTATCCGGAGGCCCTTATTGACTATATTATTAGTAAGAAGACTAAAGAATTTCATTCCCCTAAAGTCCAGGGGCCTTCTAAATGTCCGGTGTATTTGAAGATTCCCTGGATTGGGGATAGGGGTCAGGGCTTAATTAAGCAGGTTAGCAAGTCGGTTTCCAGTTGTTTCCCATCAGTTGCTTTACGTAGCATTTTTCGAAATAGGTCTTTGTTTCCGTCGTTTCGTAAGGATGTATTGCCCTACATCAACTTGAGTAATTTAGTATATGAATTTAATTGCCAGTGTGCTGCTGGTTATGTGGGGCGGACAACCTTGCATTTGGAAAGTAGAATAAATCAGCATGTACCTTCCAAAATACGACTTGGTAAGATAGATAGAATATGCTATCTTCCCCCCATGAATATGGAATCGGCTATTGCTCAACATTTAGTTGAGAATATAGCCTGCGCCAAGTTGTTTAAAAAAGAGTTGTTTAAAATTATTCATACAGCCGATTCCAATAATCATTTGAAGATTTTGGAATCGGTCTGGATAGGATTAAAGAAACCTTCTCTCTGCCGTCAGAAAGAATTTGTAAAGTCTCTTAATCTGTTGGGGGATATTTTATTTTAACTGTCCCTCGCTAATTTATTTACACGTTATTTCCCCTCCCCTCGTTACAAGTATATATACTTGTTTGTTATTTTAATGTGTTTCCCCCCCCCTTTTTTTGCTCTTCATTGTCGTTAATATTCTTCTCGTTGATTAATTATCCAACGATTGTCTCCTGATGAGATGTTGGTTGAAAGGGCCTTAGAGACTTTTAAAATTAAAATCAATACATTCCTTGTTTTAAAACTATATATAAATTTTGTACCTCTAAGCATTTGTATATATATATATATATATATATATATATATATATATATATATATATATATATATATATATAATGTTTAGACGTATTATGCCTATTGATTTTAGTTTTAATCCTTTCAAGTCCACGAATTAATTTCTTGGTGACTATGGAAAATCAATCAAGAAGAATTCAGAAATTTTCTTTCAAATAATTTTTATTTTTCCAAGACCTTTCAATCTCATCTGAGTCCATCTTCAGGGGTTGCATATCTACGTTGAGATTGAAAGAACTTTTGAAAAAAATAAAAATAAAATTGAAACAAAATTAAGTAATTCTTCATAATCAATTTTCTCCAGTCACCAAGAATTTAATTCGTCGACTTGAAAGGATTAAAGTAGACATAATACATCTAAATCATTTCACCAAACATGCTAGAATGAAAATATGCTCCCTAAAATATATATATATATATATATATATATATATATATATATATTGTCAACCACAGACAGACTGCTTCGCAGCTCATCACTGTAGTTAGACGTCCACTTGCTTCTAGCTTAGATCGAAACCCGACTGAATTGACGTCAGCCGGAAATTCTACTACTAATCCGTTGGCGCACGGCAGAGATGAAAGTGACTATAAGCGTATTTATTTTTAGATAAACACACAGTGGCTGAGAGAACTCGATTCGACTTACCGAAGAGTCTTGCAGTATTAGCTGTAATAGCCACTGTTTACATACCCACACTTCCTCCCTAGAGAGCTCAACCGAAATAAACTTTTCAGGAGCATATATATTGTCACCCACACACTGACTGTTTCGCTGTATCATAGCTCATTAGCGTGGATAGACGTCCGCTTGCCTCTAGCTAGGATCAAAACCCGACTGAATTGGCATAATATATATATATTAGGGTTATGGCGTCATATATATATATATATTAGGGTTATGACTTTTTGCAAAATAATTAATTTCCTTTATCATAATTTGATAAAATTTTGGTAAAAAATAATAAAGAAGTGGTTTAATTCAGTTATTTTTTAAATGCCAGCCCAGCACGAAATTTGTAAAATTGTATATCAGTATAGTAGGACTTCCTGGAAAATTCTAGAAATTATTTTGTTTATTCATAAACGTGTATATTATAATAGAGCAATATATCTATTTCCGCAGACTTTGTGATATGAAGAACTCAACTCAATTAGAGTTCCACGGAGTTTTGATTTGAAGAAATCAGTTTTCGCCTGAATTGTAATTTCTACCCAAATCGGGTTTTTGGTGCAATTTAGTCTTTTGGGTGGAATTAAATCAGAATCAGAGTTAAAGTGAAGTCTTGAATTTTCATGGAGTGAATTGAAGAATTCAAAGTTATTTCTTGAAAATTATTGTTGCACTAGCTATCTTTAAAGCTCCTATGACGTGGGGCTTTTATGCTATATATATATATATATATATATATATATATATATATATATATGAATACATACACATACATTTTGAAAATAAATTAGAATGGTTTGGTTTGGTTTGGTTTGGTTTGGTTTATGGAATATCAACCTGAATGGGTTATTTAATGCCGACAAAATTTCTATTGCTGGTAATATTCTGTTTTGTCAAAGATCTATTTCTGGTAATATTTTTCCTTCGAAAATCGTTTACCGGTAATATTTTTTTCAAACACTTATTGCTAGTAATATTTATATTTTAAAAACATTGTTGGTAATATTTTTCTTTTTCAAAAATGTATTGCTGTAAAAGTTGTTTTTTTTCTACAAAAAATCTGTTACTGGTAATATTTTTTTAAAGTATTTCTGGTATTAAAACCTCTTTTTACACTTTCATAGTGTTTTTACCCCAGTTTTGGGGTTACCTATTTTCCCAGAGCTGGAACCCTAACAGGTGCTACCACCCCTGGTCAGGGTGGACGTGGAAACATCAGCAATTAAAAGATGTTTCTACACTCCTCAAAACATCCGAGGCCTGGCTACTGGACGTAGTTTATCTTCATACCCAGGACGGAAATTAGAATGGATTTTCTGTTTCTTTTGATTATTTTTTCTCACGGTCACTGTGGCGATTTCCATTCTTTCTGCAGGAGTTCCATTGCGAAATCACCAGGAACGATGTCCGGTCCATTTTCTTTCAGAACGATGAGCTTTTGAAAAAAAAAAAAAATCGGATTTATATTCTTTACAGTGAGCCCAGAATCCGCCATGTTGTCTATCATTCGCACGTTCGTTTATCACCATTTCCATATCAAAAGCCGCCCACTCTCTGTCTCGCGTATGAAGTCAGTTCACGCTTTCGGTTCATTCTTTGTATCGCTGCAATTGTCAGGTATGGGTGTTTCAGAGGTGAGATTAACGGCGAATCAAGATTGCATTCATTCGATTCATGAAGTACATTTTAAGATTGAATCTTAAAGTGTAATAAAAAGTCTTTTCTAAAGGTGTTCGTTAAATGTTTACATTTCGTTGCAATTCTTTTTTCCCTCACAACTGGTTTGCAGTTCTTGCTGCAAAAGCTGTCGGTATTTATTGTTTGGTATTTTTCTTTCTTTCTCTCTTTCTTTCTTTTTTTCTTTCTTTTTTGTTTGTCTTTCTTTCTTTCTTTCTCATGAATTTTTAGTGATTTCTCTTTTCACACTTATAGAGCATCACCTTTTTCCTTTTCATTCATTCTTTCTTTCTTTCTTATGATTTCCAATGCTTTCTCTATTCACATTGATTTAATATCATCTTTTTTCCTTTCTTTCTTTCTTTCTTCATTCACGCTTGTTCAATTCTTCTTTTCACTTCGATAAAATAGTTCTTTCTTCTTTATTCCTGCTTTTCTTTCTCACATTTTGTTTTGACACCCTTTTTCCCTTTTTCTCAGTTTCTTTCTTTCTTTCTTCTTCTTAATTCTTTTTATAGCTCCTAGTTTTATCTCTTTCGCATTTTATTTTCTTTCTTCCGCTTTTCTGTCAAAATTGTTTCTTTCTTTCTTTTGATTTGTCATTGTCTTTATTTCTTTAACTTCGTTTCTTTTATATCGTTATAACTTTCCTTTTAATGTACTTTGGTTTTCATTCCTTCTTTCTTTCTTTCATTCCATCTGTCTTCGATTACCTAGCGCTCTCTATTCATATTTTTCTTGCTTATTGACCATTCATTCATTTATTCATTCATTCATTTCCTTCTTCATTCATGTTTGTTCAGTTATTTTCTTCTGTTTCTTTTATTCCTCGTTTCTTTTTATATGCAGACTAATCTAAAAATTGGTTTTTCAGTTTTTTCTTCACATTCTCTGGGACTTTCAACCTTGCCTTTCTATTTGCATCTCGTTCTACAGTTCTTTCTTACTGCTGGCGTTTTTTTTATAGATTTTGTTCGCAATATTGATATTTTTCTCACTCATTCATTTCCATTCATCAATTCTTTCTTTCTTTTCTTTTTCCACAGTATTCTGCAATACGTAATTATCCCCAAACGTTTTGTCATTCTATTTAGTGATACATAATCTTTTCACACTGATGAGCATCGTTATTTTTTCATACTTTCTCTTTCTTTCTTTCTTTTTTCTTTCTTTCTTTCTTTCTTTCTTTCTTTCTGTTTTATTTTTCACTCCTTATTATCATAATTCATTTCTTTGGTTTTCTCTTTTTTTCTTTCTTTCTTTCTTTCTTTCTTTCTTTCTCTTTCGTTGGTTACTTCTTTCTCCCTTTTTTTTATCATAACCAATTTATTTCGTTTTCTCTTTCCTCCTTTCTTTCTTTCTTTCTTTCTTTCTTTCTTTCTTTCACATGATTGTGTAATACTTACTCTTTTCAAGCTTTTGAACCTTATTCTTTTTCCTTTTTTTTTCTTCATGAATTTAATTGTGGATGCTGCCCTGAAAAATCGACTTATAGAAACTCAAGAGGCATTTTCTAATTTTCTCCAATGCAATACACTGGGTTATTATTATTATTATTATTATTATTATTATTATTATTAATAATAATAATAATAAAAAGAAGAAGAAGAAGAAGAAGAATATCTTCAAATCTATCAAAATACAAGGGTCTTGAAGTGGAAACTTAAAAAATATGGCACGTGAGGACACCAATAATTCCATTTGAAATTGAGTCCTCGACATAGAATAAAGTTATCCTCAGGGTATTGTTAATAATAGGATAAGTATGCTAGTGTTCTTGGTTGTGGAAGACAAAATTTGTTGTGTCATGCTGTGGCTAGAGAGAACCGATTATGGGGAGGTAACTCGATATTGTTATGATAGATATCCCGACGGGAGCAGTTGAAAAAATAGAGAAAAGAACTATTAGAAGGAACACTGACATTTATCGACCATCTATTGTAGACATTTTAAACTCTTTATGGAGTATTGATAATTAATTTTATTGAAGTTTGCTTTCAATTTTTAGGTACGAATAGCTACATAGAACTTAGTTTGTGTTTCATTTCTTTCTTTCTTGGCAAATTCTGAAGGTGTTTTCTACTAGGACTTTCCTTAATTAACAATACCGTTATGATGATAGCATGTTATGTCGAAAGTACTCAGAAATTAATACAATATGAACCAACACGACGTTTTCCTCTCGTCTTTCAATGTCATATATATATATATATATATATATATATATATATATATATATATATATATATATATTGACCTGAGGGATCAATGCCAAAACAGACTGAGCCTAAATATAATATAATATAATAATGGAAAATAGGGGGCGCCTGCCATTACATGGAATATACTGGCCAAAGTAGGACCATATGGGTCTTCCAATAATCCTTAGAATTTGCTTGAAACTGTTCCTACATATTCTCAAGGTTTCAATTGAAATGTCCAGACGTCGAATGTTTTAACCTATTGTCTTTATGAAGACAATAAACAGTTAGCGCACTTGTTCGGAGAATCTTTGCACATTCATCGCTCAGATGACAAGTGAGGAAATTAATTTCTCATGGTTGTAACTGGATACTTCTAGTGGCCACACATCTCACAGACCTATGCAATTTTGGGAGAGAAACTTTGCAGACCGTATTATTCCCAAAAACGTTTACCCTCCACGTTGGTCAGATGCAATTTTGGGGGAGAACATTTGCAGACCGTATTATTTCCAAAGACGTTTACGCTCCACACTCGCCAGATGCAATTTTCGGAGAGAACATTGGCAGATCGTATTATTTCCAAAGACGTTTTTTTCTACACGCTCGACAGATGCAATTTTGGGAGAGAACATTTGCAGAAAGTATTATTTCCGAAGACGTTTGCCCTCCACGGCCCCCGGAGGCAATTTTGGGAGAGAAGATTTGCAGACCGTTTCTTTCCAAAGTCGTTTACCCTCCACTCTCGCCAGATGTAATTTTGGGAGAGAACATTTGCAGACCATATTATTTCCAAAGATGTTAGCCCTAAAGAAATTTTTGGAGAGTACCTTTACAGACCGTATTATTTCCAAAGACGTTTGCCCTCCACGCTCGACAGATGCAATTTTAGAAGAGAACATTTACAGACCGTATTATTTAAAAAGACGTTAGTCCTAAGGGAATTTTGGGATTGAAACTTTACAGACCTTATTATTTCTAAAGACGTTTACCCTTCACGGTCGATAGATCCATTTTTTTTTGGGGAGAGGGGGCATTTGCAGACTGTATTATATCCAAAGACGGTTGCCCTCCACACTCTACAGATGCAATTTTGGGAGAGAACATTTGAGAACCGTATTATTTAAAAAGAGTTTAGTCCTAAGGAAATTTTGGGATTGAACCTTTACAGACCTTATTATTTCCAAAGACGCTTGCCCTCCACGCTCGACAGATGTAATTTTGGTAGGTAACATTTGTAGACTGTATTATATCCAAAGACATTTACTCTCCACGCTCGACAAATGCAATTTTGGTGGAGAACTTTTGTAGTTCGTTTTATTTCCAAAGACTTTAGCCCTAAGGGAAATTTGGGAGTGAACCTTTGCAGAACGTATTATTTCCAAAGATTTTTGCCCTCCACTCTCGACAGATACAATTTGGGGAGAGAACATTTGCAGAGCGTATTATTTCCAAAAACGTTTGCTTTCCACGTTCGCCACATCTGAATCCACCAGAGTTTTATCTATGGGGAGCAGCAAACTATGCAGTGTATCGTGATCGTCCGTAATTTGAAAATGGAAATAACTGCCTTCTATCAGTCTATTTCAAACGAGTAACTGATGGCGGTGTTCAGAAACAGAATAAGAAGAACCCTAGCCTGTATTGATGCTAACGGGTGCCATTTTCTGCATTGTTTTTAATATTCATTCATATTTTCCTGCTATATTGAGACATGTCTGTTAATAGAAATATAAATTCGAAGTCACTTTCCAAACAATGTATTTTGACATGCCTGTCTCACATAGACTTAAAGCTTTCTTCATATTTTTTCATATTAGATAGCTGCAAATAATTCTAGCTTTTTGGACCAAATTATAAAAAACCGTTAAAGATCTATGTATTATCGACAGGGTTGTTTATTTTCACACGTTTTGAGAAAAGGCCAGACGGTTTGTGTGTTAAAATTTGTGTAAATTCTATGGCCTCCTAGGCTCAAGCATTGATACCGCCAACATTTTTTGATGTGTTTCCAGTTCATTTTTTGAATACTCGTAGAAACAAATTTTCTGACCTTTGTGAAATTTTGGCCCTGATCGGATATGATGGTCAATTTTTCAATAAAAAGGACTGCTATCATCGGACCTGAGTAGAACTGAGAGTAAAGGACATAGAGAGGAGAAGAACGGACAGAGAGCATTACCCCCGCCCACACACACACACACACTTCAAAAGATGGTCTAACCGGAGATCATAAATCAGAAATGACAGATTTTTGGCATTTTTTTTAACCTCACGGAGAATTCTTCACACCGAAAACTCTTAAGAAGTCTTTGTATAAACTCTTAAAATTTCTGCCTTTTGTCATTTTGTTATTCCTTTCTCCAAGTTTTTCCCGTTTCTTTATTTGTGAAGCGATTATTTTTTTGTATATGAATCCGTTTCTTATCAAACATATTTTTCTTGTTTCTGTCGCTAATTCTTTTTTTTATTCTTTTGTTACCTCAGAAATTGTTATCCTTCTTTTGGGCCGCACGAAAGGATTTTTTGTGCAACGCT